CATAGTGATCATTCCGACCGGAAGCATGAGAGGGAAGGGGAAAATCATACCAGCTTCTGCAGGTGGCCTCAAGTTGAGTGGAATTGTGTGTAGTCTCCACTGTCTGAACAGCGTTCTAGATAAAAGCCGGTGCATTTCTTGACAGGCTTTCTTTGTCAGTGTCTAGAAGGAGTTAGCTTTGAAAAGGCATTCCTGAAAGCAGTTTTCAGTGTATGAAGGGACTGGGTGCTGGGCCTCATCTCAGAGTTCATGATGGCTTGTATAGGCTTTCTAGAAAGGGGACATCCCAGAATCCAGAGGTGTATGTGATTAAAGTGCTTGCAGAGCATAAAGGAAACTCTGAGTTCCATCCCAGCAATGGAGAAAAAGTTACTACCCAAGAAACTATTCTTAATTTTTCTTTTTCACAGAAATCCATCCTGTTTTTATTGAGCAGGATAAGGGCATTCCTTTTATTTGGTAATCTGATGTTTAAAAAAAAATACAGAGTAGGTAATGTTCATTTATCAGAAATATGGTTCAGCCAATACCAAAGAGGCTTTGACTGAGTTCTCTTGACCTGTATGATTGACCCTGGTAGTGGGTTATCTATCTGTTGAGCCGCCATTCTACTTCTAGTTGGGTTACCTGTTTTCTTCCTGGTGTGATTCTCTCCCCTAACTGAAACTTTTCTAGGTAATGTACCCAGCCATCTTGGCTGTGCCTCTGGTTGCAGTACTGTGACTGTATGTCCCTCCTCCCCATACTTAGTTGCTCTGCTCAGCTCACCATCTTGCTTGACTGAGAAGCAGACTTCCCTGGGGTGGGAGGTAAGGGGTGATGCCACTGTAATGAGTGGGTTCTGTCTTCTTTGCAATTGCCTTAACCTTTAAAGAGTCTGTGCTTGGCAGTAAACAGTTCAGGAACCTTACACAGCTGGGTACTGGACCTCCTGGCTATAAGGGGCTATGATAAGTCTCCCAGCTGAGATTTGAGGGGAATCCTGCTGGGTCAGAGAAATAGATGAACCTCCAAGACAGTGGCAGTTATCTGCCCAGCTTTGCCTCCAAACAAAAGCCATTTGTCTATAACATAACATGTTGAAAGGATGTGACCTACTCCAGTCTGGTGTTATATTTGGGAATCAAAGTTGAAATAACAGCTCTTCCAGATAGCATGATTCAGCTCAGTTTTATCTCTTAATGCTTTGTGCAGCCAGCTTTCCTCTATTGGATGAAAGACAATATGAATAAGTTGAAAGGGGCCTCTGCCTTCTCCATCCCTTCCCATCTTCCCAGGAACTGCCTCACCTACTGGAACCTGAGGTAGCTGGGGTTTATCACACTCAAGAGGTCAGGAATTCTGCTTTCCAACTTCCCTAGAACACCCCAAAGTCATGAACGCATATTGTTGAATGACATTGATGATTTGACACATTCTTAGGGGAGCAATAGAACATGCATTTCCATCCTAGATAAGGACTTCCCACTTCCCACACCTGCCTTTGACCTTTAATAATGATTGTATTACATTTTTCCCTAACCTTTTGCTGATGTGGTTCAATTTCTTTTTCTCAGTCATGAAAATATTTATTATTTATTTATTTATTACTTGTAAGTCACCAGCTGCCAAGTATCCACATTAGGCTGATGGAGACTTTGAGAGGACTGTGCTTTTCTGTTCCCCCTCCCCCAGAAGAGAAGGCTGGTTGGTTGGTGGAGGCCACCTCTCTTCCCACATGCTGTTTTCCCTCACAGTGGCTTGCTTTGGGGGAGGGGAGGGCTTCTACCAGCTGATTCCCATGTTGTACACTAGATGGCTAGACATTTTTGTATATTAGTATGTTTTAAGTTATTGATTTGTTTTATATGAAATAATTTATTTTTCAGGTACCTTTTTTTTTTTCATTTTAACTTTGTTTTTAAATGGGTTTGTTTTCAATAAAGTCTGACACTGCTGTCCAAAGTCAACAATAAAGTGAATCCCATTGTGTTCTTTTGAGGATGTTTATGTAACTAGCCTTTAAAAGTAATTTTCAGAAAAAGGTAGGGACAAAGCCCTTACCTGTTTCCCTTCTCCCAGTTTGCCTTTTTCCCCACTATTTTAAATCCTTGTGAATAAATGTTCTTCAGTGTTTTAGGAAGAAGAAGCAAACCTAGATTTTGATAATCCAGAAGATTTCAGATTAATGAAGCTTTGAAAGAACCATTTTTCGAAATTTTAGTGACGTGTGAATATTTTTTGTCAATGGCTTTCTCAAAGAGAATGAAACTTTTGCACCATTTTCAGAGTTTTTATAGAGATGCCAAATTGATATATTTACATGTAATGGAAACATGAAAAAAGTTTTATTAAACAATTGTTCATAGCTGTGTAGACATTTTAATTCAGTTTCCAAGGCTCTTCAAAAGCGTATATTGGAGGTATGGGGCGTTAACTGATGATTCCAAATGAAATCAGTTTGTCCGAATACTCAGTTCTTCGCAGGTGTCAGGTTTGTGTTAAACACTGTATGTTACCAGTGACTGGAATTCTGTGATATTTTGGTAATAAATGAAGTGGGATCGTTGAGATGCGACGGTGTAGGGGTGATCATGTGTGACTTGTCAGCATTCCAAAGCTGGATAAAGTGCCAGGTGACTTCTTCCCTTCGTGAGACAGGACCAGGCCACAGCCTTGACCTAGCAGAGAGGGAGCCCATGGACACCCCAGGTATGATGTGTATCTGTCTCTTCGTCACCCTCTCATTTCTACCCAGGTGTTTCTTCCTCACGAGGAACCCCATTGCCCTGATGGTCAATACCTCTTCCCCGTACTTTTGGGTTGAACATGGCCACATTTGAGCCATGGGATGGAGTGGGACTCGGTTTCCTTTGGGGACAAGAAAGCAAGTGTAACTCTCCATCTTATTATGTGATTGGGAGCACAGACTCTCATGTGGGTTGGAGATGTGGCTCTTTGGATAGAGTGTCTAGAATGCACTAAGATTTGACCTCTGGATTGGTGCCACAAAAAGCAAGTCTGGTAGTGTGTTGCTGTAATCCAAATACTTGAGAAGCAGAGACAGGAGGACCAGTAGCACAAGGTCAACCTTGACTACATAGCAGATTTAAGGCCAGGCTGGGATATGAGAGACCTTATTACCTCCAAGCCCTCCAGAGTTTGGGGGTGGGTACTGCTTTCTGGAGTTAAGGATCTAAAGTCTGGAAAAGAAATTGTAGCCAGGTGGTGGTTATGCATGCTGTTAATCCCAGCACTCAGTATGGAGGGGGGAGCAGAGGCAAGAGGATCTCTGGGAGTTTGAGACCAGCCTGGTCTACAAAGCAAAATCCAGGATAGCCAGGGTTGTTGCACAGAGAAACCCTGTCTCAAAAAAACAAAAAAGAAATTGTATCTTGGAGAACTGGGAAGAAGACTCAGAAAAGCCTGTTGAAGACCCTCCCCAGTTGAACAAACTCAAGAGTGGAGAGTTGGTGTGGGAAGCTTGTTTGGTGGAATACACATGAAGGTTGTTTCTTGCCAGGGCAGGCCTCCTGGAGAGAGACCTTGTGGGTTGGCTACAGGCAAGTGTAGAAGCGGCTGGACTAGGGGGATGAGACCCAAGTTCACCCAAAGGGAAATGCCACAACCACCAAGGGACTGAAAGACCTCAAGAAACTCATACACATAAAAAGCATGGCTACATTCAGGAAGGCTGCAGGGTTGTCACACACAGGGGACTTGGTTAGATAAACAGAATGCATGGGCTCAAAGAAGATGCTAGGGCACCTGAGAGTAAGTACCTCTGCAGTTCAGACTCCCAAAACTCAAGGAAGAAGACTTTCTGAGCTGGTGAGACAACAGTGTGTAAAGGTGCTTGCTAAGACTGGTAACCTGAGCTCAATTCCTAGGATCCACATGGAAGGAAAACCCACTCCCACAAATTGGCCTCTGCTCCCATGAAAGACATGCTCATACACAATTGAGTTTAAAAAAAAAAAAAAAACAGGCATCGTTCTAAGACATCCAGGGTTACATAGACATATATTAAAAGGCTGGGGGAAGAGGTCAGTCTGATCTATATAGTTCCAGGCCAACCAGGGTTACTTAGTAATACTTTGTCTTCAAAATAAAAACGCCCACTCTGAGGTACAGATGGTAGATTCTCAACAACTTCAGTTCTGGTCATGTAGAAAAGTATAGAGGAAATCCACATACCTAGTAAGCAGGAAGGAAACACAAATGGTCAGTTGAAGATATCCAGAGATACAGAAACTGAAAAGGGTGGGAAAGTTAAATTCTTAAGAATACCGGGCTGGAGAGATGGCTCAGAGGTTAAGAGCATTGCCTGCTCTTCCAAAGGTCCTGAGTTCAATTCCCAGCAACCACATGGTGGCTCACAACCATCTGTAATGGGATCTGGTGCCCTCTTCTGGCCTGCAGCATACACACAGACAGAATATTGTATACATAAAAAAAAAAAAAATACCTGGCTGGGGCTGGAGAGATGACTCAGGTTAAGAGCACAGACTGCCCTTCCAGAGGTCCTGAGTTCAATCTGTAATGAGATCTGGTGCCCTCTTCTGCATGCAGGGATACATATAGGCAGAACACTGTGTACATAATAAATCTTAAAAAAAAATAACTGGCTGTGGAAACAATGGTCCCAGTTGACATGTTTATTTATGACTCTGAAACCAGTTCCAAATTAGGACTCCAGGATTTATGTTGTGAAGTCTTTTTTTTTTTTTTAAGGTGGGCAGGTGGAGATCAGAGGATAATTTATGAATTAGGTTCTCTCCTTCCACCACGTGGGTCCCAGGGACTGAGCCCTGAGATTGAACTCAGGTGGCCTTCCTGCACTGCCACACATTTTTCTTGCCTGTTCCATGCTGAGATGAACCCAAGGCTTCCTGCCCTGTACCAATACGTCACTACATCCCCAACCTGTTTTCTATTTCTTTGTAACCAATTACCATGTCTTTAGTGGCTCAAAACAACACCCATTTATCATTGCCGAATTCTGTGAGAAGTCTAGCTGGGTGCTGGGTTCAGCAGCACCTACACTAAAATTAGAACAAGAATGAGGAGAGGTTAGCATGGTCCCTGCTCCAGAGTGAAACAGAATTCAAAAGACTAATATAATTTAACACAAAGTGAATGCAGCATTTGATATATTGTAAACAGTTTTTTTTCAATTTCATAGATTATTTTTGGTGTTAGAAGTGTTTTACCTATATGAACGTCTTTGTGCCAAATTAATTCCCAGTGCCCATGGAGTCTAGAAGAGAGTGTCAGATCTCTTGCGACTGGAGTTAAAGATGATTGTGAGTGCTGGGAACTGAACCCAAGCCTACTACAAGACTAAGTGCCCTTGAACCTTTGATCCATCTCTTCTGCCCAGTAAGCCTAAATTGTTGTTCCAGCAAGATGTCTGAGTGGGTAAAAGTACTTGATGCCAAGCCTCCTGACCTTAGTTCAATCCCCGGGAGGCATGTTGTGCAAAGAATGAACCAACCCTGTAAATTGTCATCTGACTTCCACTCACAGAGAAAATATAATGCTTTTTAAAATGGTTTTTAGATTTATTTATGTGCACTTTGTCTGCAGGTGCCTATTGGGGTCAGAAGAGAGTGTCAAATTCCCCTGGGCCTGAAGTTAAATGGTGAACTGCTTTGTGGGTGCTGGGAATGGGACTTATTTCCACTGATCCATATCCTCAGCCCTAGTTTTAAAAAGTATAATGGGAATAATAATATTAAGTACCTCATGGGATTATTGCAATGCTTAGAGAGGTCAGCCAACTGTGATGACATGTGAGGATATGAATGAATGGGAGAGTCTGGGAGCCCACTGATTAGTTTCCCTGCTGATGGAACAAGTAGTTGTAAAGTTGTTATGAATAGCTTCACACAACACAAATTCTGGGCTGGCAAGATGTCTGAGTGAGTAAAAGTACCTGCTACCAAGCATGACATCCTGAGTCCCAGAACCCACCCACATGGTAGAAGAGAGCCGGCTCCACAAGGCTGCCCACTGATCTCCACACACTTATTTACAATGCGGCACTCAAGAGGCTAAGATGGGGGTTGGAGAGATGGCTCAGAGGTTAAGAGCATTGCCTGTTCTTCCAAAGGTCCTGAATTCAATTCCCAGCAACCACATGGTGGCTCACAACCATCTGTAATGAGGTCTGGTGCCCTCTTCTGGCCAGCAGGCATACACACAGACAGAATATTGTATACATAATAAATAAATATTAAAAAAAAAAGAGGCTAAGACGGTTTGATGAGTGGTCATTGAATTGTTCTTGCAGTTTTGAAATTATGCAAAGCCAAGGTGGGCCTCACATCTGTAATTGCAGTACTTTGGAGGCTGAGGCAGAGATATAGCTTCAAGTTTAAGCCCAGCCTGGACTAATAACAAGTTCTCTAAGTCTCTAACTTATAAATAATACATACATATATGAAGTGGCTCAGGACAAAAGGCACAAGCAAGCAAACCTTGACCCCTGGGTTGTCCCCTGATCCTCTACAGGTGCACTGAGGGAAACATTTGCCTTTTACACAAATGAAGGTGCGGGGGGAGGGGGCTAAATAAATGTAAGAGAAATTTTAAATAGGAGTTAGGATTTGGAGGTGGAGTTCAGTCAGTAGCATGTTCATCTGACATGCATGAAGCCCTGGGTTCCATTGGTCTTAGTAGTGTAACCCTATAAACCCAGTACCCAAGAGGTAGAGGCAAGACGGTCCAAGTTCAAGGTCATCCTCTTACATATTGAAAGGCCAATCTGGGCTACCTAAGGCAGAGGCAAGCACAAAGTTAAAAGTTGAGGGGGAAATGTTGGGCATGGTTCGAGGCCAGCCTGGTCTACAAGAGCTAGTTCCAGGACAACCTCTAAAGCTACAGAGAAACCCTGTCTCGAAAAACCAAAAAAAAAAAAAAAAATGTTGGGCATGGTGGACCATGCCTTTAATCCCCACACTAGGGGATTTCTAGACACCCTGGTCTACAAAGTGAATTCCAAGCCAGCCAGGGCTACACTGCTACACCATCTGACTTTGTTTCTAAAACAAAAATGTTGAGTAAAAAGGTATGGCACCCACACACTCCTCTCTCTGGTTCCCCAACTGTCATCATCATCCTCTAAAGATCTGTATTCACTTTCCCTCTTCCCTCGCATTGCTGTTCTGATTAAAGATTCAATCAGTGACTCTTCAGATAAGCCCCAAAGCACCTGACTTGTAGTAGTTGCTATTTCCTGTGATGTAAACACACCCACCTTAGCTGGTGTCGCTATTGACAGGGCATCATCAAAGCTGGCATTGGTAAGAGACGGGCAGTACACAGTATAGAACTTCGAAAATGCAGGTACAGCCGGGCGATGGTGGCGCACGCCTTTAATCCCAGCACTCGGGAGGCAGAGGCAGGCGGATCTCTGTGAGTTCGAGACCAGCCTGGTCTACAGAGCTAGTTCCAGGACAGGCTCCAAAGCCACAGAGAAACCCTGTCTCGAAAAACCAAAATAAATAAATAAATAAATCTTTAAAAAAAAATGCAGGTACAATATGTGGAGCCTTGGCTGCCTAGCAAATTCAAGGCCAATCTGAGCTGCAGGAGATCTTGCTTCACAGAGAAAGGGAGGGTTGGAGAGGGGTGGAGAAAAGAAGCAATGCAATAGACTGATGAAAATGCATTTTGCATTGTTAAGCATCTTTATCAATGGAATGCACCTGAGGGGAGGTGGTCAAGAACTTTTGGTGGTTGTTCCAGAAGACCTGAGTTCAGTTCCCAATTTCCACATCAGGTGACTTCTGCATTCATGTTACAGACACACACATTAAAAAAGAAAGAAAGAACAAACATAGATGCTGTGAAACAGTGTCATTTACTTGGCCTCTGAATGCAAAGCCAAGAAGCTTGTATATCAGGTCTGAAGAGATGGCTCAGCAGTTAAGAGCACTGGCTGCTCTTCTGGAGGTCCTGAGTTCAATTCCCAGCAACTACATGATCCCTCACAACAGATGGAATCTGATGCCCTCTTCTGATATAAAGGCATACATGCACAAAGCACGCATAAAGAAGAAGAAAGAAGGAAGGAAAAGAAAACTATCCACCATTTCTTTGGGTTGGAGAGATTGCTTAGTGGTTAAGAGCACTAGTTGCTCTTTCAGAGGACCCAGGTTCAATTCCCGGCACTCACAGGGCGGCTCACAGCTGCCTGTAGCTCTTCAGGACTCTTCGGGTACTGCGTGCACATGTTGCCTAGATATGCATGCAGGCAAAACACCCATCTACATAATAAATTTTTTGAAAAGAGCTTGTGTGGCAAGTTGCACCCAGGTAGTAATAACTTGGATGATGAGGCAAGAAGGTTGATGAGCCTGCCTGGAGTTCATAGTAAGGTCCTATCTCATGAACAAAAAAACAAAACAAAACAAAACAAAAAACAACCTGCAATCAAGGAAGGAGGAAAACATGATATATGAAGTTCTGTGAGCCTTGATGGGGGTGGGAAATGGAATCTCATTTGTGGTCTGTTGTTTTTTGTAACCCATGACTGTGTCAACAACCTCAAGGGCAAAATAATAGTAACGTGGTAAGAGAATGAAGTGAGGCTTTGCTGTATGTTAATTTTGTGTTAATGTAATCCATTTGTCCCTGTAACTCATCATTAAATATCAGCTATGTTTGAAAGCTGCCTTCAGAATTGTGGAACATTTGCCTTTTGACTCAAGAGTTAGCACAAGCTGGATCCAGACCCCTTATGTGAAATGAAATCTCAACACACTGCCGTCGGACATCTATCTCACTATCCAACCCAAACCCTATTGGTTCATCTCCCCAGGCACTTCTTTGTGTTTTGTTTGTTTGTTTTTGATACAGGGTTTCTCTGTGTAGCCCTGGTTGTCCTAGAACTTGCCTTGTAGATCAGGCTAGCCCAAAATTCACGGAGATCTGCCTGTCTCTATCTTCTGAGTGCCGGGATTAAAGGCATGCACCACCATACCTGGCTGTCACTTCTTTTTCTTTCTTTCTTTTTATGGAGGGGGAGAATTTGTGTACTTGTGCATACAAGTGCGCATGCGTGAGTGTGTGCGTGTGAACATGTTGAGGTCAGCGGTCAATGTTGATGTTTTCTCAGTTGCTTTTCACCTCTGTCTAAAACTTGTTTATTTGTCATTTGTGTGTATGTATAAGTGAATGCCATGTATGTACCTCGCATGTTCCCACAGAGGCCAGTAAAGGGTGTCAGATCCCTAGGAACACAGCTGTGGGCCATCTGATACGGGTGCTGCGGATCCAACTCAGGTCCTCTGGAAGAGCACGTGCTTGTCGTCTCTCCAGGCCTTCACTTTGTATTTTCAGACAGAGCCGGGAGCTCCACAATTCAGCTGTGCTGGCAGGCCAGCAAGCCCCAGGGATCCTGCTGTTTTCACTTCCCAGTGTGGTTTTTACATTGGTGCTGGGTATCTGAAGTCAGATCCTCATACTTTCAGGACAACTACTTATAAATGTAGCCATCTCCCCAAGGACTCTAAACTGCCAAAGCAAAGGCAACAGCTATAGTTCTCACCTGGCTTTGGTAAATATTTGCCTTTTTCAAGATTTTCCAGGTACCCTTTCAGTCCATTGAACAGTCTTGTCTGGTCTCCTGGCGTTCTTCTATTTTGTGGCCTTTTTTCTCCCTTTTATTTGTTCTTTTCTGTTATCTTTTTGAGACAGTGTTACATGCATCCCAGGCTAGCTATATTTAGCCAATTTTCTATTACTATGACTAAGGCAACTTATAAGAAAAAGTGTTTAATTGGGCTTATGGTTCCAAAGGGTTAGAGTCCATGATGGCATGATAGCAGGAATAGCTGAGAGCTTACATCTTGAACTACAAACCAAAGACAGAGCACACTGGAGATGGAAGGCTTTGAAGCCTCAAGCCCCTAGTGACACCTCCAACAAGACCGCACTTCCCGATTCTCCCTCAAATAAGTTCACTAACTAGGGGCTACATATTCAAACATGTGAGTCAGGGCTAGAGAGATGGCTCAGCAGTTAATAGCACTGGCTGCTTTTGCAGAGAGCCTAGGTTCAATTCCCTGCGTCCACATGGCAGCTCACAACTGTCTATAACTCTAGTTCTAGAGGAACTGAT